GGAAAAACCAGTTAGTTGTTTTATCTTGATGCTCATAGCGTGCGCAACTGGGTAGCATGTTCTGTGCAACTGGGTAGCATGTTCTGTGCAACTGGGCACCATGATGTGTGCAACTGAAATCTCACACCTAGTTAGATGGGGGTGTTGGGCAGGTAATTACCTGAATGATGAGGCCCGTGAGTACTCCCTGTAGGGCCATTGGGAGGAGCACGCGGGGCACTACTTGTTGGGCCAGGTGGGGGAGGAGGTGGAGGACCATGCCGTGTAGGGCCTGGAGGTGGAGGAGGTCCTCGAGGTTTGCCATCATCTGATGGCCCCGTGGCAGCAGTTGGTTTTTTCTTTTTTTTGGACTTGTTCAGGTGGCCGATCTCGGTACGTGCTGCGCGCATATACTTGTATACAATAGCTTGTGCTGGATCAGAACCACTCGCAAACTTTGCTAGTTTCCGAAAATTGTATATCATGTTCCTCTCCCTTATCTACTTCTTTGATTGAGGAGGCATTTCATCCGGTTGCTCATAACCAGTCCCTGGCGCACTAGGTACAGCAGTAGGTGTCCACCGTCTTAGCAGGTACCTTTCTGGTATGACATCAACTCCAATATGAGTGAACACCTTGAGGATGTGGCAAAAGAGGATGTCGTTCTTGTCCATTTTACAACACTCACACAAATAGGAACCATCCTCCACCCTTGCCTGCACCAAGTAGTTTCGAGAATCATATTTGGCAACAAATTCCTGGTTCGGTATGAGCTCAAATATATCAGCACCAACTTGGAATGCATTATAACGGCCAATCAGCTCAAACTCTTCTCTGAACTTGCGGTAAAGATCCCTAGTGTAGGTCTTGTAAGCTTGCTTCTCTATTGGGAAGTTGGACCACAGCTCAATCTCAAGGTGTTCTGTCCTGTAGTCATTGCAGCCTTCCTTGGCAAGGATGTGGTTCTGAATTTTTTCATATTGCTTGACGAAGTTCAGCATCGAGTTGTGTGGGTTCACATATCTTTTTAGGACGGTGTTGAACCCCTCACTACGCTGTGTAGACTCCAGAAAGAGGAAGAACCTGTGTTTGAAGTAGCACGACACCCAAGTTGATCTGTATTCGTACAACTTCTCAAAGTGTGTGTGTGCCATAGCCTCATACTTCATCATTAACCCAGCCTAATTCTGTTCAAACTCGTATGGAGTGAAGCTAAAGTCAACACAGTAGTTGAAATCATCAGAGAGCCCTAGATTCCGGCACAACAGCCAACCAACTTTTTCCTGGGCCTTCTTCATGATGTGCCATCGACAACATCGATGCACGGTGGTTGGAAAGATGCTCTGTATTGACTGCCTCATTGCACCATCTTGATCGGTTATGAAGTTGCCAGGAGGTTTGCCACCCATAGCCTCTAGGAATGTTTGGAATACCCAATCAAAGCTTGATGCCAACTCCTGCCTCACAAACACGCAACCGAGCATGAAAGATTGGCCATGTCTGTTTATTCCAATGAAGGGTGCGAACGACATATTATACATGTTGGTCATGTAGGTAGTGTCAAATGATATGCAATCGTGGTACACCTCAGCATAAGCTTTTCGAGCTAAGCCATCCACCCAAAATATGTTGACAACTCTGTCCTCTTCATCATATTTTACCTTATAGAAGAAGTCTAGATCGGTTTTCTGTATATCCTTGAAGTGCGCAATTGTCTCAATCATGTCACCCTCGTTTGTGTCATCTCTACGGAAACTTGTACACACATTTGTTATTGCCTTTGGTCCGAACGGCACCATCATCTCAGATCCGTAGAACTCTGCCATTATATGCATCATACGTCCTGCATAATACAAAAACAAAACAGTATATCCTTTTTTAGTTGCACGAATGTGCACATCCGGCTGCACAGTAATAGAACATGTGTTGGCACAGAAGATAATTGCAGGAAATGGACACCTAGCTGCATCTTTTCAAAAACACTTTGCATCTTTTGCATACATGATATTGTGTAGTTGCACAGTGAAGGTAATCTAGTTGCACAACAAGCACCAAAAGTGATATACAAACAACATGGGAAGTTGGACACCAGTTGCACAGTTAAGTCATTTCAGTTGTACAGTAGTACCATAACAGTTGCACACTGGACTGCCTAGAGGGAAACTTAATTCTTTAAGGGATATAGAAACAACACACCTGTAGTCAAGTTGCAGTTATACAAGATGTGCAGAAGCTCCTTTTCATTAGGTGAGATGCCTTGGTGGGATCTCAAGTATTTGGACAACGAAGGTTTGTTCACGAGCGGATGATTGTGGTCACGAACAAAGTTCGTCACCTCCCATCGCCCATCTATCAGCTTCACCAACATTTTCGCCTTGCATTGAGTCTACTTTATTGTCTCGCGTTTCCGTTTCTTCTTCTTCTTACTAGGACCAACCTCCTCTTCAGCAAAGATTGGAGGTTCATCTTCCATTTTCTCATCACTATCAACAGTTTTTGGATCTAGAATAGGGTCCAGGACAGGAGGAGCCTCAGCTCCTCCATCATCAGCTTTGGCCTTCTTGAACTTGTTGCAGCAAAACTGCTGTTTTACCAATACATTGGTGTGGGGTGTCCTCCTAGAGGTGTTCATCTTGACAGAGAAACCCATCCGTAGTGCGTAGCTGTTGTAGTGATCCTTAGCAATTTGAAGGCTGTCAAACCTCATGCCAACATAGGGTTCCATAGGTTGAGAACCAGCCTCATCCTCTCCTTCTCCTTGCACAGCTCCGTCAACAGCCCCAGCTCCTAGCTCAGTCCTGGTTGGACTAGGAACATTTGCCGCGGTTCCCGTGTCATCAAGAGTATGGCTCTCTGACTGCAAAGACACCACTACAGGGGCACCACGGGTTGATGACTGGCCTGCCACATTGTCATGGCCCATAGGGTTTCCACCACGACTTGCCTGCGTGTAGTAAACTGATCGCCCATTTTCTGTCCAATTTCCTTGTGGTATGCTGGGTTGCTGCTGATCCATATCATCAGGAAGCTCATTGAGATCAGGAGGCAACTCATTAAGATCAAGCATTTTTTTTCCTTTTTTTGGATGCTGCCACATACTCACTGCACATATAAAAAAGAAGAAAGTGATGTCAACATTGTTAACCATAGAAAAGAGTGTTTCAAACAACCTAAAAACT